GAAAGAAGGCAAGTTGATCTTCGGCAATCGGATCTCGTTGATGGACGTCGTTGTGTCCGCCGTTGGTACAGGAATGGAAATTGAAGCGACGTTGAATGCCTCGAGTTTTTCTTGAAAGAAGTCGTAGGCTTGCATGTACGAGACCTCCGCCTTGTCTAGCAGCTTGTTCTTGAAGAAGGGAAGCTGTGCCGCGTTTGCGTCGGTTGCTACTGCCTCAATGATAGCGGCATTCTCCTGGCATTTATTCCAGTAATTTTGCAAGAGTTGAAATCGTCCTTTAGTGATGGCATGAGTTTGATTATCAACTCCAAGTTTTTGGAAATTCGTTATTGAGTTCGTTAAATAACGTAAATTCGTATCGAACGCAAATATTGCCTTGTCCATTTCGATCTATTGTCTTGCAGAGCTCGACCTTGTAAGGTAAACACGGTGTTGAAATGGAGAATGTATGTACGTGAGTCGAAATACTTCCTTGGCGTACGGAAATCTTTACTCGGAATGTAGCGCAATTGTTGAATGGCTCACTTGAAGTAGTTGTACTGATTGCACGTGTATCTTGTTTGAATCCATCCGTTAATTTCTCGACACAGATCCGGCTCGAAGGACCATTTTTTGTATATGCTCTCCTTTGGTTTTTATCGGAGCTATCTCCTAGTTCTCTCTTGTGGACTGCGTCGATAGGCAAGGATAGATAGCAGGAACTAGTCTCTTTATTCTAAGTAAGAATACGTAATTTTTATTCTTCGGATCACAATTGTTCTTCTCGTGTTGACCGGACGGCTCGTCGTACCAGACTCGCACTCCGTGCCACATCGCTCTTTCTGAAAAACGCGGAAACTCTCTCCGAATTCGGCGCTTCGCCCTTGTGGACGCAATAACAATCTGTCGATGTACACAATTACAGAGAGCTCTCAGTAGCGTATATCGAAGGCGCGCGGGGATCACGGAAATTTAATTTTTTCCCAAACAAATATGCGTCTTACATCTCACATTTCGCATACAGCTCACATATAGCCTATTTATCTCTTATACTTTATTTCAACCCTTATAGAAATTTATTACTAGTAACGCCAATTTATCACTTATTTCGAGTAATTAATCACTTTTATTTCGAATACTTAAATTACTGTATATTATAGTATTTTAAATATTCGAAATATAAGTGATTAATTGGCGTAGTGATAAATTTCTACAAGAGAATAAGGAGCCTTTAAATTCTTAATGTAAAAAATTTCAAGTAATTTTCTTTAATAAAATTTAATTAAAAAATTTTTGAACACTGTATTATATCACATTTAAAATCGTGATTATTTCAATAAAAAAACATTTTATGTGTAAAAAATATATTTTTTATATTTAATAAATTTTATATATATATATGCATATGTAAAATATTCTCTCTCTCTCTTTCTCTCTCTCTCTCTCTCTCACACACACACACACACACAACGGGAGCCAAATCTCTCAAATTGGTCTCATGATTAATTAGCCTGGATTCGCACCAGGGGCAAAGTCTGTTGGTAATGTCAAACGAATTTAGCCTGGACTTGCACCAGGGGCAAAGTCTTTTGGTCGAGTCTACGAAATTTAGCACGGACTCGAACCAGGGGCAAAGTCTTTTGGTTCAAGTCTACGAAATTTAGCACGGACTCGAACCAGGGGCAAAGTGTGTCGGTAAGGGGCAAAGTCTATCGCACGAAGATGGCGGTCTCTTCTTTAGGCAGGCCTTTGGCGATCTGTCTATTAATCTGTGGTGCTACTCGTGCATAGTAATTCCTTTCTTCGAAAAACACCGGTGTATAGAGATGGCAGACTCAATCGACCTGAGAAGTCTATTAAAATTTAACGGATCAAATTTCCAAGCATGGAAGTTCCAAATGAAGGCCATATTTATCGCAAATGGATTGACGAACATTGTGAATGGTACGACAACACGACCGGCTCAAAGCACGGCCGAGTGGAATAAAAATAATGCAAAGGCATACCCAGTAAACATCGAAATCTTATAGAAATCTAAAAGATATCTCATTAAAGAAATCTTCAAGATATTTCTAAAAGATATCCAGGAGATATCTAAAAGATGTCTAAAAATACTTTATTCAAGATTTCTTTGTAGAATTTCTAAAAGATACCTTTAAATATCTGAAAAGACATTTTAAATGATATCTTTAATATATTATGTAATATATATATTAAAGATATCTAAATAATTTCTTTTAAAAAATGTCTTTAATGTATTTTTAAAAGATATCTATTATACATCACATGTTAAAGACATCTTAAAACAAATTTTTAAAAGATTTTTAATAGACATATATTAAATTAAATTATAAAAATAATAATACTGTATATATTATTTTATTATAATTAAAGAACTAGTGTTATATAATTTGAGTTACGCGGGATTACGCTTTCTAAATGTATTTGTATATTCCGCGGTTCCAAGCCGAACATTCTCTATTATCAGAGTTCTCATAATCAGAGTTTAAAATGAGCTGTCTTTCTGTATTGTTGGTTTGTTATGTGTCATCCTTAATAACTGTTAATAAGTAGCAAAATTGTCAAGAAGGACGATGATAGCGCCTACGGAACGGGTTAATTTCTCGCATATTAACGATGAAACTATCCGAGATCTAAGAAAAATCAGAGATCATATCGAGGCGAACATTGTTGGACATGACGAATTAGAACACGTGTTAATTGCTCAAAGACTCTCGATTCTGAATAATTATAATTAAATTCCGATATTATGTGAAGTTGTACGAATTTATATTTCAAGAATTATACTGAAGAAGACCGCGTGCGGTCGAAACGTTTATAGAATGATTTTAATTTGCGTTAGTTTTAATATCTAATGACTGTAGTTTTATAATTTATACATGTAATAAATGGTAGTTGACTGAACATCTCGAATATTCAGCTCGATAAGTTGGCCTTAGATTTATCACTTTGTTTTCAATATACGAGCGACAATTTGTATTAATTTATTCTCTATTATTTTTGCTGCCGACGGACGACGGACGACCGCATGGGCGACGGGCGAGGAGAACGAAAGCGTAATTTTGATTAAATAAAGTAATCTCTTTTATCTTGTATGTAAATTCTTTTTTTAAAGATATATAAAGCATTATGAAAAATATTTTTATAACATTTTATTATAATATAATATGTGTGACACAAAATATTCTGCAAGTTTGAGGTTAATTGTAAGAACATGGCAAATTAAGAATTTATTTAGGCATTTTATGCAAAAAAGATGTAATGATATATAATGACAAAATCAACTTAATGTGTATCTGTAAATCGTCGTTGCATCTTAATGTAGACTACTGTAGACAGATCAAAAATTTGATATGCAATGGTGTATGTTTTCTGTCTACATTAATATACAACGATGATATGCGAATACACATTAAGTTTAATCGGCTATTATATCATTACATTTTTTGCATTAAATGCCTAAATTAATTATTATTTTGCCATCTGCTTACAAGTAACCTCGAACTTGTAGCAGAATACATTACTCCGTTACATTATTGAATAATGTTATCAGTAATGCTATATAATTTAATCTTTGTATCTTTTCAGGAAGCAAAGTTTAAATATGAAGAACAAACAAGTTGCTGTACATATTGAGAATGTCACACATGCAAAGTCCTTGTGGTCCAGTCTTAGCGATTTTATTCAAGTTTTTCTTCATATCGAATAATTAAGTTCAGACAGCAAAGAGTTTAGGTATACAAATTCTTCTTATTATCATTGTGTTTCCAAGCAAACTTAATAATTAAAATATTTAAGATTTTATTCCAAATGTAATTCATTTAAGTACAAATTAATATTTAATTTTTTGCATAAAATTTTAATTACTGTAATTAAATTTTAAAGCAAAAGTAAGATATTTTAAAGTACTATCTGTTACTTGATAACGATGATTATCACGAATCGTGATAAAAAGAAATTTAAGAAAATATGAAACATAAAATTATTAAAATTAATTTTATTAAAATATTGTTATTGAATTTAAAAAATATTGATTTGAATATTTTTTAGTTCAACACTAATTGTAAGTAGCATCGATCTCGAATTGTAGATCGTGTAAAGTAGGCTTAATATTCAGTATTGATTATATTGCATTTTAAAAAGATGTAACGCGGTTATTAATTGAATATTGTACGTATTGTATTTAATATACAGAGTTAGCACACACGCGCGCGCGCGCGCGTGTGTGTGTGTGTGTGTATCAGCGTTCTCTAGAAGTGTAAACATGCATCAAATATCTTGAAAACAATCACTTATAACAAAATGTTTATAAAATAACAAAATTGTAGGACTTGAATAAATATGTAACGAAAATTCTAATTGTGGTAAAAATTTCAAGTTTTTTATTTGTATTAAATTAAATTATTTTATTTATATATATTAAATTACAAGTTGCTGTTTGTGTAAGTTGCTGTTGGAGATACCTTAAAAGATAAATCCGTGCTGGAAAATGAATAAAATAATGTAGCATACTACTAATGTTGATAATGTTAAATGTTTAACATACTACTAATTTAAATAATGTTAAATGTTATAATTAATATTTTTTAAATAAATTTAACATTAATTGCTACATTATTTTTTATTTGTCTAGTATAGATTTATTTTCTAAGATATTTTTAATTGCAACTTACGCAAGCAGTACCTTTTAATTCCTAAACGTTTTAAAGAGATTTAGGAGATATTTTTAAGATATCTAAAAGATATATTTAAGACATCTCAATCATAACGTGAAAATGTCTTAAACGGTATCTGCGTAATATCTTTAAAATATCTTGAAGATGTCTTAATATATACTTTCCGGATATCTTAAAGAAGTCTTGTGGACATCTTAAAATGACATATAATATGTCTTTTAGATTTCTACTAGATATCTTCAAGACATCTTTAGATATCTGAAAGATATCTCAAAATGTTGCGTAAGACATCTTTTAGATCCCTAAAAGATTTTTTTCTAGATTTTTGGAAGATGTCGCAAGATATAGCGAGATATCTTTTAGAAATATAAAAGATATCTTTTTGTCTATCTGGGTAATGGTCATCATCTCTTCGACCATGGAATCCTCGCAGCTCGAGTATTTGTTGACCTGCGAGACGGCAGCCGAAATGTGGAATAAACTTACCGCGGTTCATGAACAAAAAAGTGAGTCGAATAAATTACTCTTAATGACGAGATTTCACGATTACAAGATGGCGTCGAACGATAACATGGCACAACACATTGCGAAGATAGAAAATATGGCGCGGCAGTTAAAAGATGTCGGTGAAAACATGTCGGACATTAACGATCATGGCCAAAATCCTAAAAAGCCTTCCCGCGAAATTCAGTGCACTAGTCACAGCATGAGACAGTGTCGACTCGAATAATCAAACGCTCGTGAATCTAACACAACGTCTAATCAAAGAAGAAGGAAGAATACACGCGGCAGACGAAGCAGGTGGCGCGCTCGCCGTCATAAGTGTAAATTCCAACAAAGAGAAGCAAAAGGCAAAAAAGAATACACAACGCCCTAGAAAGGAGGTGACATGTTTCTATTGTCAAAAACGCGGCCACATCGCAAAGGAATGTCATAAGAAGAAGAGAGATGCAAGTTATCGAGATAATACTGAGAAAAAAAAGGAAGAGACGATGCATTTAATGTCAGTGCATTCACAGTCGAAGCACATGCAAACCAACTTATGAACGTGACGACGAAGAACGTGTGGCTTCTCGACAGCGGCGCCTCAAAGCATATGACATTCCGTCATGATTGGTTTTCAGAACTACAGTCCTATGAAAACGACTACGTTTCGCTTGGCGATGGAACCACATATAAGATAATGGGTCACGGTACTATACACATTAAAAGACTCATAGGCAAAACATGGCTTAAAGGTAAGCTCGAGAACGTGCTGTACGTACCCAATTTGAGTAAAAATTTATTCTCGGTTGGCGCATGCATGAATAAGAATTACAAGGTCACTTTTAAGAAAGATTATGTCGAAATCTTGATGAACAATGAATTAAAAGTTCGAGGGATGAAGCGAAGCAATAATCTTTTCCGCATGTTTATCAAGGTACAACATAGAAGTGATGCAAATCTGGTGGCTACTCCAAACTTGAAACGCTGGCACGAGCGTTTAGGCCACGTTAACTATAGGTATATACATCAGTTCTGCAAGGAAGTCTAATTGACGAAAACATAGAAGACAACAGCAGCGATAAAGATATCTTTTGTGAAGCCTGCCAATATGGGAAGCAACACCATATGCCCTTCAATAGAGCTGCAAAAAGGAATCTTCTACCGGAAAATTTATTTATAGCGACGTTTGTGGTCCAATGTCTCAAAATTTTATAGGAGGTTCCAGATTCTTTGTAAGCTTTAATGATAATTGTTTTGCATATTATACTGTTTATTTTATAAAACACAAATCCGATGTCTTCGATAAACTGAAAGAATGCATTAATTTGATTGAAAATAAGTTTCAGAGAAGAGTCAAAACACTACGTGTGGACAACGGCAGAGAATACTGTAACGAGCAGATATTGAGATACTTGTGCGCAAAATTAATATGGAGGGATTAATATGAAGACTATACGCCCTATACGCCAGAGCAAAATGGACGGGCAGAGAGAGATAATAGGTCTTTAGTAGAAAGCGCTCGAGCCATGTTGCATGCCAAGGACCTGTCTATTCAATTGTAAGCTGAAGGAGTCAACACCGCCTGCTACATATTAAACCGGACACCGACGTCGTGTAACCAAGGTAAAACTTCTTATGAAGTGTAGACAGAAAAAAGGTCACGTCTGGATCACATTAAAGTGTTCGGATCAGTGGCATATGTTCATGTTTCCACGAAATTGAGAAAGAAATGAGACAGGAAATCTCAGAAGATGATATTAATTGGATATCAAGCCGATTCCTGTAACTACAGATTGTACGATCCGCATTCACGAATTACGTTATCCAGAGATGTTATTGTGCACGAGACAAATGATCATTAAAGAACAGAGTCAAACAATGAGGTACAAATTCTAATTGATACGAAAACATTGATTCAAGAAGAAGAAATCAAGCGAGATCCTCGAGAAAAAGATGACACAATCCAGAATCACGAAGAGGAAAAAGATAGTACACAAAATGACACTCGAATCCTTAGAGACAGAAGTACACTTAAACCACCGAATCGCTATGAGGCAAATATAATAGAGCATGATGAACCTACATCATATGAAGAAGCGATAACTGGAGAAGATGCTGAGAATTGGAAGACAGCAATTAATGAGGAGCTCAAAGCACACGAGACAAACAATAACACCGTTATAAAGCTCGACTTTGCGCCAAAGGATTTACACAGAAGCACGGAATCGATTATCACGAAATATTTTCGCCTGTAGCGCGATACGACACTATACGGACAATGTTGGCAGTTGCAGCGAAGCAGAATTTGGAAATAGCGCAATTCGATGTAAAGACGGCGTTTCTCAATGGCGATTTAACTGAAGAAATTTATATGAAGATACCCCAAGGAATTAAAGCACCATCCGATGGTATAGTATGTAAATTACAAAAGACTCTTTATGGACTTAAACAAGCATTGCGAGAATGGAACAGTAAATTCGATTCATTTTTTAAACACTACCAATTTGTACCAAGTAAAGCGGATCCATATTTATATATTGGTAAATTCAAATCGGACAATGTATACTTGATCATATATGTGGTTTGATCTTAGCAACGTCAAAGCAAATTTTGGACAAGATAATGAGTGAGTTAAATTAAACTTTGACGTTACAGAAGGAAATGTTAATTATTATGTTGGTATAGAGATGATTCGAGATAGAGAAGCTAAAACAATTTTTATATATCAATCATCCTATATCGAGCGTGTTCTTGAACGCTTTAATATGTTAGATGCGAAAATTAAAGAGACTCCAGCTGATTTAGGGATGAGTTTAGTGTCGACGGGAGATACTGACGAGCTTAACAACATTCCATATTGACAAGCGATTGGTAGTCTAATGTTTCTTGCAAATATTACACGACGGATATTGCATTTATTGTAAATTACTTAATTGTAAGTCGTTTTGTTTCTAGCTATAATGAGCAACATTGGCGAGCGGTAAAGAATGTGTTCCGTTATCTTAAATATACAGCTGAAATGGGTATTTTATATGAAAATTCCACAGAAAACGCATGTCCACAGGGATATTCAGACGCGGATTATGCGGGCAATCTTGACACTAGGCGATCTACGAGCGGTTACCTGTTTAGACTAGCTAATGGAGTCATAACCTGGAGATCTTTACGTCAGAGAACTGTTTTATTAAGTACCACCGAAGCGGAATGTATTGCGGCCTGTGAATCAGTCAAGGAAGCCTTATGCTTAAGCAGCTAATGAGTAATATCGGATATCAATGGGTGGAACCTCTGATCATTAATATGGATAATCAGAGTGCGATCAAGTTAATAAGAAACCCTGAGTTTCATAAAAGAAGTAAACACATCGATATCCATTATCACTTCATTTGCGAACAATTTATGAGTAAAATCATCAATGTTGAATACGTGTCAAGTAAGGACCAAATCGCGGATATTCTAACAAAAGTACTAAGTAAGGATTTGTTTTGCAGCTTGCGCACTAAAATGGGAATGCGTAGGATTAACATAGACGCTTTCAAAAGACGGAAGTGTTAAGAATGTCAGTTTATCGAACGCCTATCGATAGTGACTCTCTCGGTCGATACATGTCGCGCGCAGTAATACAGGAAAAAGGAAACCACTTGTGAAATGATACCAAACCCCTTTTTGTTATTTTTGTATATATGTTCGACATTCCTCGTGCTTGCTGGTCGTCGTACAACACGTGAGCAGTCACATCTTTTCATTTTTCTTTTAATCTAAAGTTCAATTTTTAATTTCTTATCTTTTGCGTGTGGTATGTCTATGTACACTAACGTCGAAAGAGAATAAATATTGTTTCCTATATATATATATATATACATATATACTGTGTCCTGTCTCTACACTCGATTATAATCCTCAGGAGTAATTCCATAAAAGCATACGGTTGTGCAATAATCCAATGACCACAATGTGTACCGTTTATAGTCACAATAGCCATTTTTTTAGAAAAGAAACATTCTTCCGTATCTTTAAATCTTTATATATCGACGATAAAATCCATATTTTATGATTATAAGAAAAAGAGAGAATAACGCGAACGTGCACACACACACGCGCGCGCGCACGCACACGCGCACACACACATACACACACAATATGACTGATTAAATAATACTATTACTGAATCATAAAATGGTTTTCACTAATGAAATACATTATTCATAGTTTAGCTTACAACAAATATTTCCTTCTGTGTCCCCAGAATGAAAAACTCCTAGGTGTATATGTATAGCATATACGAGATTTAATTTTTTCAACCACCATAATCCACGATTACTTATCTGAAAGCATCAATTTCCAAAATATTATCATATTCTGCATAAACAATACAATTTATCGTGTTTTTTAATTCTTCTGCGAAACGAACTTTGATTCTAACGCTACCGTATTTTACTAAATTCCAATGTGTATTTTCGTTAGCTGAAAGATTCGATGTGAGATCAAACGCAGAAAGACTAACCGTAGCTGTAACCTTCACGTGGGATACAATTCCCTTCATTTAAAAAATGAATTTCTGTTCCGGAAAAGAGTATGATAAGCGTCTACATATAAAACCATCATTTGTAAAATCCAACTGTAATAGTTTACCAGGTATTTGTGACCTGTCTATATATAAAGATAAATTAATAAATTAATATTATAAAAATTGAAAGGGTTGAACATATGATTCCCATTAAATGCTCTATTATCAACAAACCCAATTATTACCGTTTTAGTATCTGCCCAAGTATAACATTGTCGAGTGTTTTCCCATGTATACCACTGAATAGATATAGATTTCACATTTCAACACGTGTAAGAGGGTATTTTGCTGTAGTTTTCGCAAGAGCTTTAGCATGAGCCAGTAATATATCTGGTGAAATTTTTGAACGACGAATAAGGAGTGATGCATCGAGTACATGAACTTCGTAATTTCCTATAGTATTATTAATACAAAACGCGTCTCTTGAACGCACTATACGTAAATGCATTTTCATACCATTTATCAAGTACCTTTCTTGATTAAAAACATTACAATGTAAATATCCTAAAAGATCGAGTTTTTTCGCGTTCTCTGTAAAATCACTGCGTTTTATGAGCCCTTCAAGGCCGGATCTACAATAGATGTAGTAAGCTCGAAGCCTTAAGAAATTTATCAATCACCGTCGATTATTCCCCTCATTCTTGACTATGATTGGTGAATTTCTTAAAGCTTAGAGCTTACTACACCTGTTGTAGATCCGGCCTAATTGGTTCATTCATAGCACCAGCTGAATCTTTATACCATAATACAGTTGTTAGATAAGAGTTCTTTGCAGCAGGTCCATAATTAAGCAATGTTTTTATATAAGCTCTGTAAGCATATGCATTATTCGGCGGCGATACCGGCTTCTGATTAAAAAACACATTGATTTGGTTAAATAATGAATGCATAAAATTATTTACAGGACTAATTTTAGATCTATTGCCTTTTGTTCCGCTCGCTCCTTCTTTTTTTGTCCTAAGTTTTGTAGATCTTATTTGAACAGTCAGGCTTAACATTGTATGAGCGAGATCAATGTATTCTTCGCCCTGGCCTGGTATAACAAATTCGATTTGTTCGAGCCTGGTATAACAGTCCGTGCGTACTGTTCGAATGTGTAAAATCCGATACCCGTGCAGATTTATAACCTGATCCTAATCCCGTCATAATACTATCTAGTTTTTCTTCCGCTTTTTATTTTAAATTTTTTGCTGAGTCTCGTACGCGCATATTAAAAGACTTCTTGAATGGAATCTCTTTGTCTATCACATCGCTTGCGATATGCATACCAGAACGTATAGCTTCTTTTCCAATAGCTTTAACACCTTTTAATAAGAGGGGTAAAACACAACGAAAAAGCCCTCTAAAAAACTACCGATTCCATGATCGCGTTGATTCGATGATCCGATATATACATGCTCGATACTCCCATGTCAACAACCACCATATTGAATATCAAATTCGCAGTAGTGATTCATTTCTGCTTATTTTTTCAATTTAATCTTTTAAAGTGTAATGTCACAGTCAATATACCACTTTCAAATGGTATAGGTTTTTCAAATTCATCCCTTATATCGATCTCAATCGTTTGTAAAAGGTTGTAGAGTAGGGGTATGTATTTTGATGTTGAAAAACTTCTGTACTTATAATCGATCCATAAATGTATAATTCGATATCTAATGAGACAATACGTAGTAGTGGTGTTTGCATATCGCCGGTAATACATATAAGATTCACATATATCTGTGTATAATATATAAACATAATCGATGGTAACGCACTAATGAGACTAGCAGGTTTTAACGCTACACATTTTTTTCGTTTCGCGGAACATCATACTTTTTATCCTCGAATTCGAATATATGACTTAAGCTTGGTAAAAAGTATGTGACGTGCTCATACAGTTAACGCATGAACGACGTACACTAACATAACCGTTTTTTCCTATATCAAAGGTAAAATGTATGACCGTAGGATGTATTGAGTTTACCGTCTCGATAACCTCACTTACAGAACGATACACGATGTGTGGGATAATATATGTTGTGACGTGGTCTTTTTGAGCCCGTCACAAGGGCGAACACGCCCGGCCGGGAAGCGTCTGAGAGCGCTGTACAATTTTGTGTCTCGTGCGGGTGAGCAGCGACCTTTTCGCTAGCTCGCCCGTACTCTGTATCGGGATCGAGGTGGTAGGCCAGGAGAACGGCCATTGTTTTAGGGAGAAGAGGACCTGGGCAGACGACGGAGGAACGACCTCGAAAGGGGAGGAGCGGAGACTGAGCGACCGGCCCGCCTCGATGGGACGAACAGGAGCAGTCCAAAACAGGGAGGAAAAGGCGCCTACATCCCTCGACAAGGATGATTCCCCTGAGGGGCCCGCCACCACACATCGAGAGAAACACGGAGATCTAACGGGACTGATCACCCCGAGACGACTTCCCTCAGCAAATAAAGATCGTTCGGAACATCATCATACGGCCATACGAGGTGTGGACGGGACCGCCGAGAATGGACCTGCTGCATCGTCGCTTCCGAGGGCTGATGTTTGAATTTGGCGGCGGAAGTCCGACTAGCCGCGACAGACGGAAATCGATACAAGGATCGATTCCGGATCTGGCGCGGGGCGCAACACTGCCGCGGGGTGGCGCGCATGGTCTTCCCCCTCCCCACCAGCGTACCTTCCGAGGTCCCGCCGGCCCGAAAGGAAATCACTGTTCGACAAGCCGGTGTCCTGCGAGCACGTGAAAGGACGATGACCCACAGCGACCACCTGCGACGGCGAACTATTGTAAGGCCACCTCCTCGATCGTCCGGTAAGCGCGGATTCGGTAGAGACCTGTGAGTTATTAGAGACGTGTAACGATACCGAGCAATTATACTATAAACAATTTAGTACCGAGAATTAGTTGAGGGACTCCCGGGACTCGAGTCGATTTCCGCGTCATTAAGTTATTGCGTAAATCTTTGCCTTCTTCACCTCTCCGAGGGGCACCGAAACGAGTCGACAGTCACATCGTAATATATTGTAATTGTAGCATTGTATCGAGTCATTGATTAGCAATCCTTGAGAATAAGTTACGCTGGATTAGTGTATGGTCTATTCGATTCCGAGCCGGATACAAAGGGAGGAGAGTAATGATAACTAGAGATTTCGATAAAACACAGCGATCTCCCTACGGCTCGATAATAATATTATAGTTACTTTTATTCACTCTATCTATATCCTACTAACTGAAAATATATTCTTCTTATTTCATCTTATTTCTGAGTACAATTAATATCGAGATTTCCTCTCTCTCTCCGAGACGGCGATTCCGAATCTCCTTACGGAAAGAACCACGACACTCTACCCCCTGTTGATACCGAGCTACCGAGGCCGAGCCGTCGTGTCCGCTGATTATTTGCCGAGATATTGTTGAGTGGTGCGGCCTGACCGCACCTGGCGCCCAAAAGATACGATACCGAGCAATCAGTGATACCGAGCAAGTATTGAGAGAACGGAGAGCGGCACGACGAGGTTGCGCAGCCGTCTCTCTTGCACTCTCTCTCTCTCGTTTGACGAGAGAGGACGGAGAGACGGTCGCAATGTTTATCGATTTTATTGTCATTTTCTTTCTGTATACGTGTTGAGAAAGGGGGAGAGAGGACAGAGAGGGGAGAGAGAAAAAAAGGAGGAGGGAAAAAGGGGAGGGGGAGAGGGGAAGGGAAGAGGGGGTAAGTGAGAGAAAGAGAGAGAGGAAGGGGAGAGGGAGAGAGAGGGAGGGATATAATTTGTTTCATAAATTTGCGGAAGGTGAAGAAACATGTGGAAGGCGTTCTCCTCCTTCTGTGAGAAAGTGCTCTCACAGAAGGAGGAGGCAGAGAGAGAGAGGGAGAGGGCTGGGAGAGGTAACTCCCAGTCCTCGGAGGGTGAGGAGGAGGAAAAAGGTGAGGAGGAGGACGGGGACGGGCCCACTCTTTTTCCGCCATCGGCGAGCTCGCTCGTCTGTGGTGGCGGGAATCGGGGGGGGGGGTGCGCCCCCGTGGAAGCAGAGGTAGTGGGAACGGGGACGGGCCCCCTCTTTTCCCGCCATCGGCGAGCTCGCTCGTCTGTGGTGGCGGGAATCGGGGGGGGCTCGCCCCTGGCAGCGCGGGGGATAGCCGCGGAGGAGGGGGCGGGCCCTCTCTTTCCCCGCCATTGGTGTGAGTACTCACGTGGCGGGGGGCGGGGAGAGTCCGCCATTTTCACACCCGCGTCGTCGTACGACGCGGGATGAGGTTGCCGGGGGGGGGGAACAACTAAGTCCCTGGACTCCCCCCCAAAAGACCTCTCGAGAATCGGGGGCGTGGGTGCGCCGCCTTGCCCCGAACGGGAAATCCCCCTGATTGCGGCCGAATCCTAACTCCCAAGGGAGCGGAGGGAGCCGTAATCGAGGGGACCAAGGGGGGGCCACGCGTCTTTGGCGGGCGGGCAATAGCACGTCCGCCTGAGGCGCCTAGGCCCCCCTCTATGACGGAGACGTGACGCGCGGGGCCCTCTCACCGGGAGCCACAAGGCACCGGTGGGAGGGCAACGCCGTCCACAAAGGGGGTTTCTCTCCTTCTGAGAGGAACCCCCTGGAGAGGGCCTCCGGGGCGAATGCCGAATCCCCACTCCCCTTGGGAGGGGGAGGGAGCACCGCTCCGGAGGCGGGGGGTGGCGGCTCGAGCGGGATACTCGAGCCGTGACCCCGCCCCCCAAACTCTTTGGGAGCGCGCGACGTGGGGTTGATACCCGCCCTGCGTCGCAACCGCGAGGACCCCCGCACGATGCAATTCGCGGGGGGGGGGAGTGTCGCCTTCAGCGGCACTCTCCCAAGGAGGGATTAGGCGGGGGGCGGCCAGTCGGCATGGGATACCAGCATCCTGGCCGTCCCCCATTAACGCCCGTGAAGGTATCCGCAGTGGGTTTAGTGAGGTATGTCTTGAGCCCCCTGACCGATCCATTCGTGGATCGGCCAAGGGGAGCAAGAAGTCCCACATAACCATCCGCTCTCTTCCCGGAGAGCGGTGGTATCCATGAGGATTCCCACTGCGTTAAAAAAAAAAAAAAAAAAAAAAAAAAGGTGAAGAAACATCATTGGTATTTGAATATCACTTAAAGAAACTCCCCACTTATAATGTAAAAGTAATTGTAGTAGTAATCGTGTAATAAAATTTGTCGTTGTGTTATCCAGAAAATACGATGCGCTACTATTATTAGGTAGTACAACGTAAAAATTATCTTTCATTGTTATTTATTTTTTCAAATCAGCAGATCGTATCTACGTATTAAATATTTTTTCTGGAAAACCAAACCAGGTAACTAAAAGACGTCTTAAACACCTGCGACCTTTACTCTTGATGATCTTAACTTTGAGGTTAGTTTTTGCAAGATCGCAATAAACTTTAGTTAATTCTTGCTCGTAGAAGATATCATCGATATTTTCCTCTCGAAGATCACGTAAAAAATAAACTGGTGGTTGACTATGTGTCAAAACACGTATTATATAATTCTACGTATTATACGTAGAAATAATTCTTTACTTCAACTTCATAATATTTCGCGAATGCTGACTTGTTACTACTGATACCTACAAGATTACCAACGTTATATTTAGGAATACGCTCATAATTACTACAATAACGTTGTTCGAGATTTGCTCGAGCAACCGATGCGTTATTCAATGTTACGGTGCACGGAGCCATTTTGATAGCACTATGATTCGATCGATTGTATGCATCAACAATATTTTGTAGAACATTGATATATCGTTTACACCCTGTATGGATAAAATACCGCCACATACGTTCTTTTAATGTTCTATTAAAACTGTTACGTCCAGATCCAATTAAAAGAAGAGTTGAAGGAAGGACGCAACAATACTTGTTCCTCAAACAACTCTTGACGGTGCGTTTATTCGAGCCGAGCGAACGTGCGAAGACCCCAATAGGTCAGTGACCGGGAGTATCACTTTACGCTATTTAGAGGCTGTTCTCTCAGTGGTCCCTTTTTGGCAAGAGAATTAAATCTCTTTTGCTTAGGATGGGACCTAGTGCAATTATTGGGAAGAGAAAAATGAGAGAGGAGAGGGGTTAATTAATTAATAGTAGAAGATTCATGATAATAAATTGATTTATTCGTTAAATGAAATAATCTATCTATTAAAGAATGTTCTTAAATTCTACACGCTAATCCTAGTGGATGCATGTGTGAGTGTGTGTGTTTCGCGGGTGATACATGAGTACGGTGGCCTTCAATCGGGACTAGTGGGGAGAGAGTTAGTGTTAAAAATATATTAGAGTCCCGATTGAATATTACAAAAATAGATATACTAAATAGCTACTTATCTACGTGTGTGTGTGTGTTTGTGTGCGTCGGAGTCATTGGATGTTGATGATTTTGATAAAGGGGGGAGGGAGAAAAACTTGGAGGATCTCTACAGGGAATCCTACCGGGTACTCATAGCCAGGGAGGAACATAGGGATAAGTGTACCCGGAAAGCTTCCCTTTACGACTCTAATGAATTGTGCTTCATTGAAGTCGGAGGGACTGCACGAATAGGCACCTGTGGGGAGAGGAAGGCTTAGGAGAGGGAAAAGTGAAGTACATCCAGTGTGTGAATTGCGCATCATCGTCGTCCTCCGGAAAAGGATTCCTCTCGCAAGCCCTGATAAAATCAAAGTACGAGTGATAAAGCGGGATGTAATGGGAGTCTATGTGCTCATAGCTCCTGGGGTAAAATGGGATAGGTGAAGGGAGAGTACTTGGACGAGATTCCAAGGAAGGGGGTTCCTGCTCTTTATCCGCGAGGTCGATCGTCTCGATCCTAAGGGAATCTATGATTCTTTCAGGGTCCTCACAGAGAACGGGGGAGTTGCACAGGTCTATGAGAGGTGGAGACGGGGATCTGGGAGAATTCTTGTGTTCAGGAAGGGGGTGGTCTGGACTTCTGGAGAAGCAGGAGGGGCGGAAGAGGGAACTGACGATTCCTCCGACGGAAAAATGGGAGAATAGTGTCGGATTTCAGGGTAAATATCTATAAAAGTACTATCCGCTATTTTTAAATTAATAGTATTATCATAGTCTCTAACCCACGGCCCTAATCTACCTCGAACTTCTCGGTGAATTTGGATCGGGTCGGCCCCGGGGAAATCCGACGTAGCTTGAGCAACTGCTCGTCTTATCCGCCGATTCCGACGATTCCGCGCGTGTCGTATTACGGTCCACAATTGCCAAGGTTTATTATTGTCCACTACAGATGTAACTGGTTAAAATAGTCGAGACAGAAATATCCGCGTATAATAATAATAATAATAATAATAATAATAATAATAATAATAATAATAATAATAATAATAATAATAATAATAATAATAATAATAATAATAATACGAATAATGGTAATAATAATAATAATAATCCTTGGATTATTATTCGCACCCTTTGTCGCACACGATAATTTAGACACACCGTATCGGTGTTGACCTTGATGGTCGACGGAGAAGTTATCGCTTCTCAGCGACAAGGAAAGGCGGTGATAACTCGAAGGACCAAGAATAGAAAAAGGAGAGCGTAGGTCGAATGGTACTCGACGCTTTCGCGCCGATAAGGAGGAGTGAAGTCAGTGGCTTGCAAGGCGAGAATGAAGTTAATAGTTCCTTGTTGATTAACACACTCGGTTTAATTTTAAACAATACACTTTGTACTCAATAGATAAACAGATATAATCGAAGACCCGGAGCAAGATCAAGAGTATAATCGGGATTAAGTTGGTCGAGCGCACTCGCCTGCGACCTTACTGTTCGAGCTTCGCCGATTGTCTGAAAATATTGAAATTTCGCTCGGTGGCGCGAGGCCCGATCACACTCCGATCATGCCCGTTCGTAGTACGGAGCAGGTGACTCGCACGATTGTCAACCGTGATCGCGACGTGGTCGTGCTTCGTATTATTTGCTCGGACGTATACAGGATTTAACTTGTGCCTATATTAGGAAGAAACAAAACAAAACCTTTTTTTTGTTTTTCAACAGAATCGTCGAACATGTCGATACGGTTTGCTCGTGCGCAAACATACCGCCCGCCTCGAAACTATAGTTTCGAATTAAATGAAGGATTGACAATTCGTCTCGATTGTACGATGATGGAGAACGTATTCTCCTTGTATTACTTGCTTGGCGCCGCCCGCCACTCGCTATCGTTTTCAATGCAGACTTGATCCTTACTAAACTTATTGACGGTATTGAATAAAGGGAAAATTATCTACATGATATATCGCTTATAACTAGAGAATAACGTATGAATGATACATTGATCCTTAAGCTTATTGAATTATTACATTAAGATTGAAATTAAACTGATTCTATAGAGGTTTGCCGGAAGGATATCAATCGGAAGGATGCATAATTGTACGAGAGGACGCTTATATTCGGAAGTCGCTGTCTTCACTAAGACGACGCGAGTCAAACCGTCCGAGCCCGGAAAACACTGGATTACTCTTCCTAGTTGCCATTTGCATGGCGGTAATGTGGCATTTCTCAATAATACCATGGTTCCGATTTTAACCGAAGGTTGTTTCGTTCGCCACTTGCTCCTTTGTTGTAGTGTATTTATATAGTCGGCTTGCCAAATTTTCCAGAACCGTTCGACAAGTTGTCGTACAAGCTGCCATCGTGACAGGCGATTTTCAGTTAAATGTAAAACAGAGGGTTCGGGATACGTAGTTAGAGCGGTCCCGATGAGAAAGTGCCCCGGAGTCAATGACTCGTAGTCATCGATAGACGCAGTGAGAGGTCCGAGAGGTCGAGAATTTAGGCATGCTTTGATCTTACTTAGAAGAGTGGTAAGCTCTTCGAAAGTTAATTTATGCGCACCGAGGAGTCGCCTTAAATGATATTTTACGCTGCGTACTCCTGCCTCCCAAAGCCCTCCGAAGTGAGGAGCATGTGGGGGCATAAAATGCCAGGAAACTTTGTCTGATGCTGTTTGATTGAGAAAATCTGGATCTCTCAATGCGTCATTGTAAGCCCTTGCTAATTCTTGTTCTGCCCCGATAAAGTTCGTTCCATTGTCTGAATACATGTCAGACGGCAATCCTCGACGGGCACAAAACCTCGTGTAAGCATTTAAGAAGTCATGAGTTGAATATCCTCCTACCAACTCAAGGTGAATTGCTCGAGTAGCCAAGCATATGAATACTGCAATGTATGTCTTGATAGATTTGATCCCGCGACCGGATGAAGCTCGAGTGTCAATGGGTCCCGCAAAATCTACTCCGCAATGCTGAAATGCTCGTGATGAGACGGTCACGCGAGCGCGTGGCAGTTGGCCCATGAGTTGAGTGGGGCGTGAGGCTCGTTCACGAGCGCATGTCACGCATCGATATATGACTGCTTTGACTAGTGTTCTAGCTCGTAATATTAGGTACTCTTGCTTTAGAATGGAAAGAGTCAATTGATATCCTGCGTGGAGAGATCGAACATGAGCGTCACGAATCAACAGCGTGATAAGTGGATGAGATGTGAGAAGAATAGGATGTTTTGTTTTGTATGGAAGATTTGAATTCTGCAACCGTCCACCAACCCGGATCAATCCTTGTTCGTCAATGAACGGATCGTATGATCGTATCGAGCTTCGAGGAGAGAGTTGTTGACGTTGTCGAAGCGCTTTCAGATCGCTCGAAAACATGTCCTTTTGAATCGTCTTTAGCCAAAACAAACTTGCCCTTTCAAATTCGTTTGCTGAGACGGCGAAAGGACTTGTCTGCGTGTTATTTTCTCGTTTCGCGCTTATGCGACAATTGTCGAGGAATCGAAAAATATACGCCGTAACTCGAACGAGTTTTCGCCACCTGGAATATTTGCTTGCTAAATCCCACGACTCGTTAATTTGAGTCGATTGAACTGTAACGGATTTAGCTTCTACTATGATCGCGTCCTGTGGCAAGAAATCAAAGACTGGCCATGCTGAAGATGGCATTTTTAGCCACTGTGGACCGTTCCACGAAAGAGGGTATGACGAGAGTTCTGTTTGTAGGAGTCCGCGCGAGGCGCAGTCAGCTGGATTCTCCTCCGATGGCACGTGATGCCATTGCGTATTTGGTAGCTTTGTTTGTACTAACGCTACGTGATGAGACACAAATGTCTTCCATTTAGAAGGGTGCTGGTTTAACCAAGATAATACTACTGTTGAGTCTGTCCAGCAGTGACTCTCGATGTGCTGTAAGTTCAGCGCGACTTGAATTGATTCTAAAAGTCGCGCGAGTAAAACTACTGCTGACAATTCAAGTCTCGGTATCGTCATCGGCTTGATAGGAGCGACTTTTGCTTTACTTGCGAGTAACGTAGTTGTGATTTTTCCCGAGATCGATCGTACTCGAATATAAACCGCGGCGGCATATGCGACAGACGAAGCATCGGCAAACCCGTGAAGTTCGCATTGTTCTGTGTCTGACCCGCGATTTATCCATCGAGCAATTTTTACGTTGTCAAGTGAAGCTAGTGTTATGTAAATTTTTTCCCATTCCTTTGAGCTTTGGTTCGAAATATTTGTGTCCCAATCGAGATTGAAACGCCATAACTTTTGCATAAAGATTTTCGCGGTAATCGTAACTGGGGTAGCCCATCCGATCGGATCAAAAAGCTTGGCAATCGTAGATAAAATAGTGCGTTTTGTTTTAGGCGGAATTGCTGAGAGAGATACTTGAAATTGAAAATTGTCGGTAGCGGGGTTCCACGAGATACCGAGCACATTGAAATTTTCGTTAGCATTCAGCAATTTATTGCAAGCGAGGCCGTGATTCTGTGAGGAAATGTCCGTAAGCAACTCTGACTTATTACTCGTCCATTTCCTTAGCTGAAATCCTCCGCGTTGCAACAAGGCACAAACTTGATCGCGTTTTTGACGCAACAAAAGAATATCTTCGGCTCCAAAAAGAACATCGTCGACATAAATATGGTCTCTTAGAATGGAAGAGGCCAATGGAAAAGATTCTCTTTCATCATGCAGAAGTTGTTTTAGCACTCTAAGTGCAAGAAATGGAGCTGATGCTGTCCCGTAAGTGACTGTTTTTAATCGGAATGCTTGTGGTATTTTCGAGCCTTCAGTGTTCCATAAGATTCGTTGGTAATCTTGATCACGTGGATCGACCACGATCTGTCTGTACATCTTGGCAATGTCTGCCGTATAGACATATTGATACTGTCGCCAGCGAAGGATTATATCGAATATATTCGTTTGAAGCTTAGGACCTTGCAACAGATGAGTGTTGAGGGAGCTTCCGTTTGACGTTAAGCTTGATGCATTGAAAACGACTCTAAGACGTGTCGTGGAACTTGAATTGCGCACAACTGCATGGTGCGGAATATAAACGGTTTGTGGGACAGAAGTTGATTTCGAAGAAACAGAAACCTTTTTCATATGTCCGAGTTCCTCATACTCTAATAGGAATGAATTGTATTCTTTCTTTAAATCGAGATTTCGATCTAATCGTCGATTTAAAGAGGTTAGCATACTTGATACAATTGAATGTGAATCACCGATGTTGATCGGTGGACCTTGTTTGAATGGGAGTCGTACTATATATCGTCCGGTTTTATCGCGAGAATGATTTTCAAGAAAGTGTTTCTCACAGCGCTCGTCGTCTGGAAAAAGCTAAATTTTTTGAGGAAGTTCCTCGACTTCCCAGAATCGTTGAATATCTCGTTCGAGAGAACAATGCATTACCTTGATTGAGCTAGATCTTGAACTTTGAGTAGTAGTTGGTCCCGATAGGACCCAGCCGAAATAAGAATTCTGCGCGATAGGCTGTCCGATCGATCCTTTGCGAACGCCGTTTCGAATTACTCTACTATATAGATCGGCCCCTATGAGTACCTCAATAGGATCGGATCCCGTTGAATCGTCATCTGCAAGATTGAGATTTCGTAAATGCTCCCATGACTTACTGAATTGTGCCCGTCGTGGAGTGTATTTTGTTAAAGAGCGCATAACAAAAGCTTGAGTGCTGAATACGGGCCCCGATTTTATGCGGGAAGTAAGTTGGATGTTAGCTGCATGTCGGCACATGCCAGCGTGAACACCACCAACAGCTGAGATCGACGTCATTGTCCGAATGCGTCGTAATCGCAGGCCTTGAGCGAGTCTTTCTGTAATAAAAGATACTTCCGAACCCTGATCCAACAGGGCTCTGACGGTTTGAGTGCGTCCCGTCGGAGAGCTTACCTTGATTTTCGCCGTCGCGAGGAGAACAGGTAATGGCGACGCGTCGCTCGAAACCACCGAAAGAGAAATGACTTGTGAATTTTCGCTAGTCTGCACTGAATTTTCGCTCGAAGTTGTCGCTTGATTCGTATTCGACGAGGAGTGTGAGTCGACATGTAACATTGTATGATGTTTCTTTTGACAAGTACGGCAAGCGAATTTACTGCGGCATTCTGCCACGGAATGATTTTTGCGTAGACAATTAAAGCAAAGTTTGTTTTGTTTTACATACTCTCGACGTTGACTCACACTTTTGTCGAGGAATTTTGGACAATGATTGAGGAAATGCTGGTTTTTACACAGCCCGCACATAGGAGTCGCCGCTACCGACGCATTAGCACTGGCTACTTTATTTTCGCGACTTGAACTTGACCCTTTAATCGGTTTGAGTTCCTCAAGTGCACTCGCGCGCGATGATAAAAATGTCAGTAATTCGTCGTACGTCGCGGGAGGAGATGCTTCGTTAAACTTTAGTTTCCAAGCGCGTCGTGTGGCTTGGTCAAGCCTTTGAGATATGCAGTGAACGAGGATGTCATCGAGAATATCGGTAGAGGATCGATTTAATCGCTTTAACGACTCGATAGCTTTTTCCGCTTTATTGCGCAACGCATACAATTCGGACGATGATTCGCGTAACAAGGTTGGTAACGAGAACAAGGTAGATACATGCATCTCGATTAAACGGCGCTTATTTTCGAAGCGCGCCCTTAACGCTGTCCACGCAATGTTGAAATTATCCGCGGTCACTGATAAACTGGCTATCGCGTTGTGAGCACATCCGGTGAGATTTGAAACGAGAAAGTGCATCCGACTAAAATCTGAGAGCTCCTTATTATTTATAATTAAAGCCGTGAAGCGATCGCGAAAGCTCTCCCATTCGTCGAAGCTCCCGTTAAAGGATGGTAATTGAATGGCTGGGAGATGCTGTAACGAAAGCGCCGCAGAATCCGCATGATTCGTTGAATAATTGATAGATTGGTTCGGACTCACAGTCGGCTCTGATTCCTCGAGGCAGTTCGTCATATAGTCTATTGCTGCTTGATAGAGATCCTCATGACTCTCCATCTTGTTGGCTTGAAAATACTCCATCTTCTCCCTCTTTGCTTCAGCGTACGCTTGGAGTATCGCTGCATGAGTTTGACGGCACTGCATCCAGGTTTCCTTGAGGGACGTCATTCGAGAGCGAATCGTTGCGGGCGTATAATTGTTTCTTCCGATCTTCTTGAAATTCTCTAATGCCCGAGAAATGGTGTGAAAAAGCGTTTGCTGTAGAATTAATGGATCGCTCATCTTGATTGTTTAATACTTCAGTCTCAATCACTGACACTCTGCTCCTTAATCCGGCTCGAAGGACCAAAAACTTTATGTTCGCACCCTTTGTCGCACACGATAATTTAGACACACCGTATCGGTGTTGACCTTGATGGTCGACGGAGGAGTTATCGCTTCTCAGCGACAAGGAAAGGCGGTGATAACTCGAAGGACCAAGAATAGAAAAAGGAGAGCGTAGGTCGAATGGTACTCGACGCTTTCGCGCCGATAAGGAGGAGTGAAGTCAGTGGCTTGCAAGGCAAGAATGAAGTTAATAGTTCCTTGTTGATTAACACACTCGGTTTAATTTTAAACAATACACTTTGTACTCAATAGATAAACAGATATAATCGAAGGCCCGGAGCAAGATCAAGAGTATAATCGGGATTGAGTTGTTCGAGCGCACTCGCCTGCGACCTTACTGTTCGAGCTTCGCCGATTGTCTGAAAATATTGAAATTTCGCTCGGTGGCGCGAGGCCCGATCACACTCCGATCATGCCCGTTCGTAGTACGGAGCAGGTGACTCGCACGATTGTCAACCGTGATCGCGACGTGGTTGTGCTTCGTATTATTTGCTCGGACGTATACAGGATTTAACTTGTGCCTATATTAGGAAGAAACAAAACAAAACCTTTTTTTTGTTTTTCAACAGAATCGTCGAACATGTCGATACGGTTTGCTCGTGCGCAAACAATTATCATTAAAGAGAAACTAGGAAATATATATATATATATATATATATATATATATATATCTCAGAGAGAGGGAAAGGAGGATAGCGAGAATTATGTCGGGAAGTCCATTGTAATTTCAAAGGAGAGAAGAAAATCGCGAATCTTTCGCCGGTGCAAGAAATCTTCACTGATTTTTAGGGAAAAGAAAATCGCAAATGTCTCGCTGGTGCGAGAAATCACTAATTTTCAGGGAAGAAAAAATCGCAAATCTCTCGCTGATGCGAGAAATCCTCACTGATTTGCAGGGAAGAGAAAGAGGAGCCAGAGACACTGGCGTTATATATATATATATATATATATATATATATATATATATATATACATTAAGTCTGCGGTTATCACGCTGTTGACTCAAATGTAATTACAAAACAAATCTAAACACGGCTTATAGAGCCAAGCGCAAGGTGTAGGGGAGCGCAAAAAATAACACAATAACTTGTACTATAAACAAGTTTATTCAGTATAAACGTTTTGGTCCTTTCTTTGGATCATCTTCAGTAAAATAGGAACATAAAGGTACAAACCATGACAAAGAAACTGTCTCATCACTTACAAACTCTCAAACGCATTACGTATAGTGGGCCTCCCAAACTGCCACCAGCCGGACAAATAGCACAGAATAATAAGATAGTAATAATACCTTCAAAGGTAACCCATACTGACTGTAGCTAGTAAGCCTTTCCAATATATACGTAATGCGTTTAAGAGTTTGTAAGTGATGAGACAGTTTCTTTGTCATGGTTTGTACCTTATGTTCCTATTATATTGAAGATGGTCCAAAGAAAAGCCCGAAACGTTTATACTGAATAAACTTGTTTATAGTACAAGTTATTGTGTTATTTTTTGCGTCCCCCCCCCCCTACCCCTACACCTTGCGCTTGGCTCTATAAACCGTGTTTAGATTTGTTTCGTTTTAATTAAAGAACCTTAAGGGGATGCCGGAGGTCTACTTTTACCGGCCGAACCGATTATATTTTGCCAACACCAAGAAGTTTTTATTGCGTTAATAGAATAACAAATGCTTTTCCACGATTAAAGTTAATACAATAATAAAGTAGGAAGCTGTCTGAATTTGTGATAAAAAGACAAAATATTTTTAAATACGAGTTTTTTTTCTGGCTTCTCGCGTCACGTCATAACAATATTTGCTTGTATAAAAGTTTCACAATTTATACGTACAAAATAAGACAGGTTTCTACAAAAGATTGCATAAAGGAATATTAGTGAGCTTGCAGAAATAAGTTTAGAAGTCTAATAAAAAAGATTTTGGTGTTGAAATATTTCATTTACATGTGTATGTGCGAAATGACATTTGGGAATAATACAAAGCAGAAAATTAGTTGCGCGATGTCGCGATAGATGGAGCTGCAATCGCGCAGTTAGACAAGGACAGACAGTTATATTATCTTCGTCTCTCTCATGCTGTCTTGTCTTCTGACCACGGTGTGTATACGACCATGCTTCTGACATACACTCTCTCTTTCTCTCTCTTTCTCTCTCTCTCTCTTTCTCTCAAATTGCTCGTTCATAATTGTATGCGAGTGATTTGAGAGAGAGAAAATATGCTTTCTAAAAATTAAAGTATGTAGGTATAATATGCCAATATTATATACAGGGTGGGCCATTTTAAAAAATACGATCAATTTTCTCGTAAACTATGTACAAAATATATATGTGTGTGTATGTGTATAAACAGGCCTATCTATAATAATTATAATTGATTATAAAGTAAATAATTCTTTGT